AAACATTAAAGTCATCACTCTTAGGTGTGATTTGCTTTCATAGTATTATTTACAGTTCAGTTTTAGTGATCCTAATATTGATAATATTGCTCCCTTCCTTGTGCACTCACAACATTTATGCCATTTTGAACACAGCCGTGGCTCATGACGAAAGCTATAGATGAATTGTACTTCCAGTAGAATAAAGTACAATGTTGCAAAGCTCAAATCACATCAAACTGCTTTCTTGAACAAGACAGTATCTATGTATCCATCTACTGATGTGAATTAGACGCATGTTCAAAACTGGAATGTGTATATATAGATACCGTTTCTATATGATCAAAAATTCTATTTAACAAAATGGTCAAACCCAGAAGTCAGTTCAACCCAGTACTAGCAAGGTCTACCTAATAACTAGGCCAGGATTGATTTCTGCAATGATTCAAAAGCCATGTTGTGTTTTTTTGTGCTTTATTAGGGGGTGATAAGATAATAATTTTGATTTTAATTATTTGACAGAATGTCTTCATCATGGAGCTGTGGATGTGGTGTCCAACATCTGCTATGGCAAACAGAGGTGTTTGTTTACTGTGGATCAGAAACATTTCAAAGACCCCTGCCCTCCTGGAACAAAAAAGTATATCACCATCCTCTATGCATGCGGTATGCAGTATATGCATTAAAATCTTCCTCAAGTAAAACTTTTCAGAATGTGTCGAACTAGGTCACTATTTAACATGCAATCTTCACATCATGGCATATCTTATATCAGTTTCCCATTGACTGAAAGTGTAGGAAAAGACAGATTGTTGATTTACCCGTGTATTTTTTCCTGTCTCATAAATTACAATGAAGTCAAAACATGTTTGGGAATAAAACTAGGGAATGAGCCTGGCATTTTTAGACCTCGGGGCTTCCTGTAAAACTTCCTGTGATTGCTTTGAATGGCAATCTTTTGTTACTGATTGGAAAGCAGAATCAGTTAACAGGAAAAATAAAGATTACTCATCAGCTTCGCACTGAAAGATCCAGGGAGATTCTGTTAACTGTTTTTCCTGTTTCAGTTCCACAAAGTTTACTCAAGGAGGCTGATCCCAGCAGTTTCCTGACTACCTCAATGCCTAGCCAAAGCACCAAAGAAGGTGAAAGTGACAAAGATGACAGCACATTAAGTAAAATCTGTGCAATTGAGGTATACAACTTACTAAATTATCTTCCTCTTTATATGCAGAACGTCCAGTTATCAGAAGCTCAAAGTTTCCAGAGGGCGGGATTATTTTAAGCAATGCTTTAATGGGATTTGGCTACATCACAGGTAAACCGATGTCTTAAACTTATGTTCATCCAAAAGTGAAAATGTATTTCCCATTTACTTCAAGTTGAACACAAAAGAAGATATTTTGAAGAATGTCAGAAACTAGTAGCCATTGACATCCATAATAGACTAAACGAAAAATTACTATGGAAGTTAATGGCTACTGGCTCCCATCTTAATGTCAAAACAACATAAAAAAAAACCTGTCAAAAATGCAAATTGATTTGTTGGCAATTGACTACCTTGATGTCAAAATGACATAAAATTGACATCTAATATTAGGAGAGGCACCCGGTAGGGTCTTTTGCTGCTGTAGCCCATCTGTCTCAAGGTTGAACATGTTCGTTCAAAGATGCTGGCCATTCTCCTTTGACCTCTGGCATCAACAAGGCATTTGCGCCCACAGAACTGCCACTCACAGGATATCTGCTCTTTTTTGGACCATTCTCTGTAAACCCTAGAGAGCCCTTCTGGCACCAACAACCATGTCACATTCAAAATCACTTAAATCTTTCTTCTCCATTCTGATGCTCGGTTTGAACTGCAGCAGATCGCCTCGGCCATGTTTACAGGCTTAAATGCTATAAGTTGCTACCATGTGATTGGCTGGTTAGAAATTCGCGTTAACGATCAGTTGGACAGGTGTACCTAATAAAGTGGCCATTGAGTGTAGATGTCAATATTTTGTCGTTTTGACAAGCTTAACATGCATTGTAGGGATACAAAATCCAGTGTAAGTTTGTCATCTCATTTAATTTGGAATAAAAAAAAAAACTTTTTGTGTTGTTATTTTGGTTGTCTCGTGGCATTCTGTTGAGGGTGCTCGGGGAGTATGGGGTCAGAGGCGATCTGTTGAGGGCCGTCTCGTCCCGGTATGAACTGAGTGGGAGTCTGGTTGACATTGCTGGCAATAAGTCAGATTTGTTTCCAGTGCATGTTGGACTTAGGCAGGGCTGCCCCTTGTCACCAATTCTATACATCATTTTTATGGACGAAATTTCAAGGCGTAGCCTTGGGCTGGAGGGGGTCCGGTTCGGGGACCACAAAATTTCATCTGTTATCCGCAGACGATGTTGTTCTGTTGGCTTCATCAGGCAGGGACCTTCAGCATGCACTGGGGCAGTTTGCTCCCGAGTGTGACGCGGCTGGGATGAGAATCAGCACCTCCAAGTCTGAAGCCATGGTGCTCCACTGGAAAAGGGTGGTTTGCCATCTCCAGGTTGGAGGAAAGTCCTTACCCCAGGTGGAGAAGTTTAAGTATCTCAGGGTTTTGTTCACGAGTGAGGGAAGGATGGAACGTGAGACTGAAAGGCGTATTGGTGCAGCAACAGCAGTAATGCGTTCGATGTACCAGTCCGTTGTGGTGAAGAAGGAGCTGAGCCAAAAGGCAAAGCTTTTAATTTACCAGTCAATCTACGTTCCTACTCTCACATATGGTCATGAGCTTTGGGTCATGACCGAAAGGACAAGATCTCGAATACAAGCAGCCGAAATGAGTTTCCTTCGACGGGTGGCAGGGCGCACTATTATGGATAGGTTGAGGAGTTCTGACACCCGGGAGGAGCTCAGAGTAGAGCTGCTGCTCCTCCACATCGAGAGAAGTCAGCTGAGGTGGCTCGGGCATCTGTTTCAGATGCCTCCTGGACGCCTTCCTAGGAAGGTATTCCAGGCATGTCCCACCTGGATGAGGCCTCGGGGAAGACCCAGGACACGATGAAGAGACTATGTCTCTCAGCTAGAATCCTCGGGATCAGTTTGCACTTTTGACATGTTTTTTGACGTCAATGTGATGTCATTTTGACATCAAGGTGCCCGCTGGGTTTACAACATTTTTCAGAATATCTTCTTTTGCGTTCACCAAAAGAAGAAGAAACTCAATTAAGATTTGAAACAAGTGTAAGGTGTGTACATTGACAGAATTTTTAGTTTCTAATTTTTCAAAATATCGCTTTAAGGCTCAGTTTTTATTTTTATCTAACTTACTCATCTTCACTCTTTCTCTTAGAGCATCCAGAGATGGCAGGACTACTCTTCACATCAAGTGTTTGCGTGGGCCTTCTGATAGTTCTAATAGCCGTTTCAACACAACTGACATGCAGTAGACATCTAAATACACCTAGAGCATTCAGAAAGAAGAGTAGAACTAACCTGGAAGAGGAAGAGCCAATGAACCAGGACAACAGTGAGGAGGAGGATGATGAAGATGATAAAGGGTCACTGATGGACAGCTCTAACCTGTCAGAGATCGGCAGGAAGGTGTACTGCTGGGAAGACGTGACGTACACCACAGAGGCAGCTGATCTGATGGAGAGGATTGAGCGGCGAGAGCTAGTGATTCAGGAGATCAGGATGAACGCATACCTCAATGGAAACACATGCATCCTGCACTCAAACATGCCAACTGTTACACAAAACGTACAATTGCTGTAATTTCAACCAAACTGAGTGAAATTTTGGGAATGTTTTATGTTACCAAAACACTAAATTAAAGGTGATGTGTGAAACTTCAAGCAGAACAAAACAAATAGGTCTTCAAACAGGTTTCCTAATTAACATTAGTGCTGGTTCCAGAAATATTTCTCCCATAGGATTTTTAAAATAGTTTTTATTTATTTGTTAAAGTGTAATAATAAGAAATTAACCAAACTAACCAGCTATGAAGCAAAGAAAAATAAGTGTATGAAAATCAGACAAAAAGATGAAGGAATGTTTACTTGATGACTTTAATGAGGGAAAAGCCTAAATTTTATGAAGCATTGTGAATTACACAGTTGATCTGAAAGCAACAAAGAAACACAAAACTTTTTAAAGTAGTTTTATCTTTAGAATGCATCTCTCAATTTAAATTTAAATAATGTTCTGGAATTTATTGTTAATCTAGTTATGCACAAATTCCATTATGATGCACAATTGTTTTAAAAATAAGTTGAATTAACGTGAAAAGATGCATTTAGCAATCACATGTATGACCTCAAAGGACCTCTGTGCTCATGACAGGTCTGTCTTTAAAGGGATAGCTCATCCAAAAAATGAAAACAAACTTATTTATTGTTGTGGGTTTAAACCTTGGGTTTCTTTCTTCTGTTGAACACTAAAGAAGATATTTTGAAAAATGTTGGTAGCTGGCACCCATTGACTTCCAAAGTAGGAAACAAATTAAGAGAAACCAGCATGTTTATTTGTGTTTACAGAAAAAAAGAAACTAAAATAAGGTTGAACAAGTGAAGGGTGAGTAAATAATGACAGGATTTTCGTTTTTGAGTGAACTACCCCTTTAAAAACGTTAGCAGTTATTTTTAAATGTAAGTTTCCAAATGGAAAAAAATAATGGAGTTTAATTTCTGGAACCAGACCATTGCACTTATGTTGCTTATGTCAAGTAGTTCAAATACACTAGTCAGCTTATATACCAATTTTAAGCCATGAAATAAGTATTCTAACTTAAACTGCACATATCACCTTTAAAGACTCTGTCAGATGCCTTACTTTAAAATTTAATATGACAATGCTATTGTTAACTGATGTTATTTTATGTCTGAATTAAGAAAGTTAGTGACTTAAATCATCCTATTAAGCTAATATATTGCTGTTGTGTTACACTGTACAAGCCATGTAAACAGAACAGTAATTCATAAATTATTTATTTTATTAAACAATGAATGAATAAAAAAGCCTAAGTTTTTAAAAAGATGGTAAAATATTTTAATTAAAAATGAATTATATTTAAATGTCATAAACTCATAAAATAAAACAATGTTTCTCTAATACATAACTTCACCCTCAACTTTCCTCTCTTTCCAGTGAAACCATAACTCTCAATACTTTAAGCTTTTTTTGCCTTGAGGATACACAAATGTTCTGTGACTCCTTCTCGGTGCTCTTCAAATGTGCCACAGCGATCCTGAGAGCAACATCCTGTCTTTAAACGGCATCAAGTTTCAATTGAGTAACTGCCAGAGGCACAGACAAAGAGAGGAAAGGTGTTGCATCCTACCAATGAATCAGAACAGAGAAAACTGGTGTCTCGCACTCTGCAAACATTCATCTGCATACAGTCACATAAATACCTTTCATATGTAACAAAGGCACCAAATTGCATAAAAACAAAAGCAGGAGAATCTAAAGTAACTGATGTGCCCGATGGAAAGTAACTGTAGTCCGGTTGTTTACTTGTCTTTTTATCTATCTTGGGCCCCATTTGATATTTGTAAGTCCTTGAAATTGCCTCTTTAGGGCCTGTCTGTCCGACCACTCCGACTGAAGATGTGTGTCATCATCTGCTTCTTCTAGCTTCTGTGAACAAGAAAAAATAAACAATGACAGCTCCATATAATGAAGTAATCTACAATTAAATATATCTCTCATAATAAAGGTAACATGCAGCTGTGTAAAAAGTTAAGAGAGCATTTAAAATGGCATTTAAGCATTTGAACTTAATTCTTGTTTTCCTTTCTGTAAACTACCAAATTTGAAGTCTTATAAAATGAGAGTTGAAAAAAAAAATCAATATTTATTGCAATAAACCTGATTTTCAAATCACAAAAAAATGAAACATTTAGGGGAAAAACGCTCGAAATTACAATATTTTCATTTGAGATTTGGATCACATTTGACTTAAAAAAATCACACCTAAAAATGCAATAAATCAAAAGAAACAGAATTATCGAGTGGTCTTATACATTTTTTTCCATAGCTAGTAAATATATTGATAATATCTGGAGTTTGCATCAAATACAATTGAGCAAAAACACTTTATTTACACACTGTAAACAGCATATTAAATAAAATAATAATAATAATATTAAATAATAAAGTTCAAGCACTCACTTTCAGTTCTTCCTGTCTCTTGTAATAGTGCAGCATCATCTGCTTTTGCTCATCTTCACTCACTACTGGTTCTCTGGCAGGTGCGCCCTGGCCCCGCTAACATGAACACGCAAACAAAGGTGATCAGTTTTTAAATTGCATCTCAAACATCAACGCAACATCATGTTTGCAGACAAGTAAAACTCATACTGAACACACACTTTTTGAATTTTCACAATAATTTTGGTTTTCTCGTTTTTCCCAATATAATCCTGCAGCTTTTTGCCCCTGTGCAGTTCTTTAGATGCCCACCACAGCTGAGCCTCTTCATTGGTGATCACCTGTAATGAGGCCTGCAATGGAGAGCGTTCATCAGTATTTATAGCCTGTGTTATGCTCATCAAACAAATAAAGAACATGAAGTTTGGTCCACAGTACATACACATAGTTACTTAAAAGCATAAGTCATCCAAAAATTATTTTTCGCCATTGTTTACATACTTGCATGTAAATTCAAGACCTGTATGACTGACTTTCTTCTCTCATGAAAGAAGATACTTTAACAAATGTTGGAAACCAAGCACTAACATCCAATCTATGTCCAAGTCAAACAGTTCGGAACACAATGGGGAGTTTTATTCTGTTAAGGAGGATCTCTGATACCTGTGTTCCAGTGAGATCTTCCTGATTTTCAATCTCCATTCTTATTGGATCATGTGGAGGAAGTCCCATTGGGTAAACTATCATCACAGCTCCTCTCAGCTGGTCCAGAGCTTCTTTCACCATTTCCATGGTGACACAGACATTTGCTTGCAGTTGTTTCTGGACAGAGAAAAAAAACATTTATAAATATATAACAATATATTAAGAGTTAGATTTACTCTATGTTAAAAACGTCATACTTTTGAAATTAAAGCCTTGGCTTCCTCCATTGTTCTTCGCAAAACATCTTTCATCTTCTCGTTTGGGGCTATATGGAAAGGCAGAGTTTAGGTATAGCAATTAATGTGGAAATTCAAATTAAATCATCTACTCTTAAAACACAGTCGGGGTAGTTTCGTCTAAAGAAATTTATAAAAAATGAAAAAACATTTACTAAGGCAACATTACATTGCTTATGCATTAAGACCCTTTACAATGACTTTTTTTGTATTTAAAATGCTATATATTATATTTATTTATTTAAATTTTCTACATTTTTTTTTTTACATTTCAAAAACAAAAAAAAAAAAACTTTTCTTTTAATACATTATTGTAACCAATGTTTAAAATATATTTAATTGCTGAACATTTCTGAAACAATCATTGATTTAAATATTTTTAAATCAAGAATTTTTTGTAATTCTTGGGTCATTTAAGGTGTCATAAATTATACACATATATAAGAAAATGTATAGTAATAAACAGATAAATGTGACAGACTAATACCGTGTCCATTTCGACGTCCGATCTCATCCTTTTTAAACTCAGCACCGCCACTGGGAATGCACCGCTCTTCCCATTCATCCTTCAGTTTGAGCTCCACAATCTGATCATCGGTCAGGCCTTGCATTTTTGGTGGTAAAGAGATACCATGATCTGCCAGCTCTGGGATTTCTATGGGTAAACAAATGAAAAGTAGCATGGATGAACTTAAAGAGACGTTTTGGGTGAACTATCAGCATTAACCCACCCTTGATCCCAATTTAAGTTTATTTATCCATATGACTACAAAACAAGGCTTTATGAAAAATGTAGAAAACCGGTAGCTGTTGATATCGATAGTGCTTTTATTTCTACTATGGATGTCAAAATATTTTTTTGTGTTCAATAGAGATAAACAAAGTGAAACCACTTGAGGAGGAGTAAATCACAAGTACTTTTTTATTTCTGGGTGAACTGTTCCTCAAGCGATTCCAGACCTTTATGCATTTCTTTGATGTCATTTCTTTATGTAGTGGTTACAGGTTTCCAGCTTGCTTCAAAATATCTTCTTTTGTATTTAAACAGTAGTAAAAAAAATAAATTAAATAAAAAAGTGGAACCCCTTAAAGTTGAGTAATTCATGAGTAGATTTTCACTTCTGGGTGAACAGTCCCTTTAAGGCTTAGTAACGAACATATTTATTATTCTATAATATTTCACCTCTTAACCATCACCCCTTTGAGTTCAGACATATACATATAAATTATGAAACTCAGAACATACCATTTGGAAAGTAAAAAATGGATTGATAGATGCATTGACTTGAATATTGTGGATTAACAAAAAAAGAAAACTTAAAAAAAAATAAATAAATAACACCTCATTTACATTTTGAGAAGGATTTATTGAAGGTTAATTCCAACACAGTGACCATAGTAATAATTGTATGAAAGCTACACAAATGCAGAGTTCATTTGGGGGGTCTAAACCCTGGAATGCTGGTGTCCTGCAAAGTTTAGTTCCAACCCTAATCAGACACAACAGGGCAAGCGAATTAAGCTCTTAGTAGGCTTTTTTTTTGTAAAAACATACATGCTGAGTTTGGACACCTCTGCTTTTAGTGTACAATTACAAATCAGAAGCACTGTATTTGTCTTAAAAAAATAAAAGATTACGAGTTTCTCTTTATTCTGCTAAAAACTGGTAACCATTGACTTCCACAGAAAGAAAACATTTTACATTACTGTGGAAATTAATGGGGAGATGCAGTGGCGCAGTAGGTAGTGCTGTCGTGTCGCCTCACAGCAAGAAGGTCGCTGGTTCGAACCTCGGCTCAATTGGTGTTTCTGTGTTGAGTTTGCATCTTCTCCCTGCATTCGCGTGAGTTTCCTCAGGATGCTCTGTTTTCCCCCACAGTCCAAAGACATGCGGTACAGGTGAATTGGGTACGCTAAATTGTCCGTAGTGTGAGTGTATGTGTGTGGATGTTTCCCAGAGATGGGTTGCGGCTGGAAGGGCATCTGCTGTGTAAAACCTGCTGAATAAGTCAATCCGCTCTGGCGACCCCGGATTAATAAAGGGACTAAGCCGACAAGAAAGTGAATGAATGAATGGAAATTAATAGGTACAGGTTTCCAGTTTTCTTCAAAATATATTTTTGTTCAACAGAAAAGAGAAAGACAAACAGGTTTGGAACAAGTGGAGGGTGAGTAAATGATGACAGAATTTTCAGTTTCGGGTAAACTAACGCAACCTAATACACTCAATACTTGACTTCTACTACACTGTAAAACCTAAAAAGTTGAGGTAACTCAAACCGTTTGAGGAAACCGATTGCAAAAAATCATTTAAGTTCAAAAACGAATCCCAATGAGTACTGTAAACTTAATTTATTGAGTAAATAAAACTATTTGAGCACAGTAAACATAACTCAAACCATTTGAGTTAAACTAATCTATAAGAGTATTGTGAACTTACTCCATTTAAGTTGGAGTAATGAGGTATTTAATTAACGTATTACCTTCAACGCTGAGTTCAAAACTATTTTCAAATGAGTAGAATTAACTTATAGTAAATGTTGAGTTAATTAACGTTACACTCATTTCGTTCGATAAAGTTGACTGTTGGGTTTTACAGTGTAATAACGCTAGTTAAATTTTACCTGACACAACTGTTAAACCAAATCGAAAGATGCATTTATACCGTTCAACACTATTAAAATACATAACACGTAAATATCAGTCATACCAGTGCAGATTCTGTCCACTTTCAGTCTTGCATTGTAGATCTCGCAGATCTGCTGGGTCAGCGTCTCAATCTGCACATCCACCGTAGTGTTGAAGAGAAACTGGCTCTCGTCTCCCCGTTTAACGTGAAGCTGAACCATCTCTCGCTTGCGGATTCGGTCCTGTGTGCGCGTGTTATATAAATATGAGACTTTAACATAAAGTAAAACCTGACAACGGGGAAGTGTTCTATGTCGCCAACTCGCTCCTCACTGTGTTTGAGCTTGTTGTCATGGCACCGACACTATCGTGTTCAAGAATATTCTAGCATGCTGAGCGAGCACGTAGCAGACAACGTGTGTTTGAGTGACACTAATAATACAGGCAATCATTTCGATAACTACCGTAAATATTGTATACTGTCAAGTTATA